GTTTCACTGGACTGTTGTGTATTGGTGAAAGTGTCACATTGTTTGTGAACTCAAAGCAGCTGTTCCAGGGGTCCCTAGAAGGAAAAGAAGCATGTATGAGGATGCCACCATTTCCAACTTGCACCCACACAGCAGAAATGTAATTAAGGCTTCCTTGGGCTAGAATAGAATCAGAACTAAGGAGACTGGCTTCTTCTCTCCTCATTTATATTGCTATTCTCATAACAAGCATTTCAAAATCATGCTGACACTAAGTTGCTCTGGTTTTAGTATTTTAGAAAGACATGAAATGGCAGACTGTGCCTAGAAAACAAATCTGCAACACAACAAAGAAAAAAACCAGCAAAAATAGGACTTTAAATACATTGCAAACAGAATGATTCATTCCAATTCTCCCTATTCTGCACCTTATTGTTGTTTAGAATCTCATTCTTTGTTTCCTCACTCATAGGAATTTTCTTACAGGAGCATTCCATACTCATTGTCTCAAATTAATTAATTAGATGGAATTAAATTCAAAGTGGTATTTTTCAGGAATGAGTCTGTGAGATTCATTTCTTCATGGAAATCCCATCTTCTGTGCTGCATGGAGAACTGAGTGATATACTGAAATATTATTACTTACATTACTGAAACTATTGAGAAATTCACTCTTTATCATTTCAGAAAATAAAATAGAGCATTTTATAAGCCTAAAAGACAAACTCTGACAATGTAGATCTGTGAGTGGATCTATGCTATCTACTTCATGCCTCAGTTGTCTTGTATGTGTCTGTGTCTAGGTATTTATTATAGAAATGTTGTGGCAGTAACTCATTAGTTCTGTTTTGTGCTATAAAATGTGTGGTACATGATCTTTGGCACATGTAAAAGTGTACTGAGCACATGATGGAAACCCTTCTGCTCGTTCTACCTGTATGGCAGAAGCCATCAGGAGCTTCAAGATGTCATTCAGTAAAGAATTATATTAAAGTATTATTTTTGTCTATGCTACATAGCTATTTGTGTCAAATATTGGGAACGTGTGTTTTTAATCTGTAGGTGTCCCTGTATTCATGACTGTATCTTGGCGTAAATTTGTGCTGAGCATCATATTTTATAAATGACACATAAAAATAAGTTTTTATATCACCAATTAAGATATGTTTTCATCAAAAGAGACTGGAATTTGATTTGATTTTGTCACAAATACCTAGGATTGGAAAGAGATTGCTAATGTATGGAATATTGCCAATAGCTGAGCCTCCTGTTTGGAAGGGGTGAGGTATGAGGTTCCTCTGCAGATCTGCAGAGCTACACAGTCATTCCATCAGAATACTGAATTGAAACTACAGCTTTGATTCATACTTGTTTTGGAATTACATTACTGAAAAGAGTATTTGGTAAACTAGAAAATAATATTACTGTCCATCCAGTTATTTTCTTTTCACTCCATGCTTGATATGTGGCAAGGATTTTATTCTCAGGGATTTGCTTTTCCATCTGAATTTTTTTTTTTTGCCAGCCTGCAATCCTTTTGTTTATTTGCTGCCCCTTGCCCCAGTCGTAACAGTTGTGTGCAGAGGTAACACCCAAGCAGGCATGCTGGCACAGCCCAAATTCTGGAGGGGCTTAGGAGAGTGATGAGTTCTGGGTACCTTGCCCTGCTCCTGAGTTCTTACACATCTGATATGCTGAAAGGGGTGAATTGGCAAAGCAGGGCTTTGGAAGGGCTTTATACTGGGCACAACAAAAGGAGGAACTTCTGGAAAAGTTGTTGCAACTATTTTCCTTATAAAGTTTGTAATTAGGACGTTTCGCAGCCTATCTAAATAGAGATCATATGTTTTACACATGAACAATTCACAATTACAGAACGGAGAATTATGTGAATACAGAAATCCAAGAATAACTCGATGAAAGCACAGACAATACTGACTTTAGTTCTGGGTATGCCTACATTTAGAAAAGTAATGCCTTCCATATCGAATAAGATTGTGCCATGTCAAACAGCAGATCATTTAGAAAGACTGGGAGTGGGAGTTTCTGTTAATTTTGAACAGTGTGCTGACAAAAATCTTATTTTTTATTGATCCATTACATAAAATGATTGGAAACAGTGTTCTGGAAGATAGGTTGTAACCTACAGGTTTTGCATTAAGTAGCCTGGGTTAAGTATTAATCCTCAAAGTTGTATTCATCTGTCAAATTCAGTACTGATGTTCAAGTGAGGACTGAGAATCTATCACAGCTATTTGGTTGGCCCCTTTCTTCAATTTGATTCTTTGAGTGTAGCAGCAATAATTCACCATTCCTCAAATTACTTAGATGAATACAATTGATTATTTTATTTGCAACATCTAAACACAGTTATATAGCACAGTTTTACTATTCCATATATTTTTGTGATTGTGGGTTATTAATTATATAAGTGGACAATTATTTGCTTTTAATACTTTGCAGCTGAAAATTCTGCCTTTAATGCTCTCATAATTTTGTTGATTTTGAAGCTGGCCAGAGTTCCAAAAGTATATCCACTGATAGCAAAGTCTTTTTTAAGAGGAGAATTAAAGTTTTCACAATTCAAGCCAGTTCAGCAGTGGTTAGATGTAAATATCCTGACTCTGCTTGTAACAGCACAGCTCTACTAAGGAAAAGTGCTTTATCAACACTTAGCATCCCTTTCCTATGGCAATATTGCCCTGTAGAATAGAAGAATGTTACCTAAGAGTGAGAGGATTAGTTCAGATAAATGCTGGGTTATATTTGAATGCTTTTGAAATACTCACTCACATTCTTGCTGGGAGCCTTAAGTTGCTACCTCGCCATACCTTGTTAATGGACTTTCACTTCAGAATACGTAGCAAGTATAGGAGCTGCTTTTTTTAATTATCCATTGTAGGTTTGGCATTGGCTGTGTAGCTCAGGCTTGGCTTTGCCATCTTTCCTTAGACACATGCAGTGTGACTTAGAGGGCTACCACTGTGAGCAGGTGGATGCTTGGTGGCACAGTTAAAGGAGGCTGCCTGGGGAAGTGGCAGAATTGCTGTCCCTGGAGGTTTCAAGAAATGTATAGATGTGGCCCTGAGTGAAATGGCCTATTGGGCGTGATGGTGATGGGTCAGTGCTTGGGTTAGATGATCTTAGTGGTCTGTTCAAACATTAACGATGCTATGACTGCCCGCATCATCATCCCTCCAATCACTGAGATTCTTTTTCCTTTATCAGCCATAGCTCATGGCTCGAATCAGGGAGTATCATTTCTGAAAGTCAGATGCACAGGGAAAGATGGAGATGTTATGGCTCTGCTGTGCTACTTCTGTCTCACCTGTATGGGAGAAAGTTGAGGGGGAGGCTGTTCACTTCTTTGGTCATTCAGCTGGGGAGCCATTACAGAGGAGTGTAAGCACATAGGTTCCTTTTCAGCTCTGTGGTGGAAGAGGGCAGAAGATAAGTCATCCTAATTTTAAAATTTATATGAACTTGTAAAGAAAACATCTTAATGCACTTCCTAAGCATATGCAAGATGCTAACTTAAAGGGAGATTTTAACTAATATTTCTAACATATTATTCTACAGTGTTTTCTGACTCAACAATTCTGTTCAAACTGTAAAGTCAGACTCCTGATACTCCCATGTATGCCGTGCTTTGTAGTAGATGCAAGTAGATAAGTAGAGAAGCAGATAAAACTCTGTAGTTCTTAAAAGGGAAATATACTTTCCCACAAACCTTCTGAAATACTCAGAACAAACTGAAAACAGCAGTTTACTGACACAAAACATGAGCACAATGGCCTCAAATGGAAGAATAAGTGGGTAGCAGATCTTTCATTTGTCCTGCTGCATGACACCACTTTTTGCAGTTCTGTAAGAAAAATCCAATCTTTGCTGCAAGACAGACAATAGTGGCTGTGTTACAGGATAAGGAGCATGTAAAATAATTTCATTATTCATTGATTCTGAGTATCTTAGCTCTTACTGACAGTAAGAACTGCTTCCTACAAGCACCTTGAGTAGTATACAAAGCTTTTAAGCAAAACAAAACCTTAGCAGTTAGTGAATAAATTATATAACACTAGGAAAGTTTTTCTAATCTGTAATTTTAATTATTAATTTTTAGCTTTTCTATGTGATGTAGCCATTTAAACTAATTATAAAATACATGAAACACTTCTGGTCTTTTTTGTGTTTTTTTTCTTTTCTTATGAAGGCTTTTTTGTTTTTTATAAAACACGCTGTCTTGGCTAAGAAATACAATTTGTTGCAGCTATCTGATTTGTTTTTATTCATTTATATTTTCATAAATATTAATGTTATTTACAATAGTGCAATACTGAAGTTAACATTTTCTGTTAAGCTGAGGTTCATTAGGCTTATAGAAGCTATCTTTGAGGTTCCAAACACAGCATAGGAGAGCAGCCATTAAACATCAGGACCGTCGATCAAAATATTTTTCATTGTTCATAGAAAATACCTTTTTTATTCATTATATTGTGTCTTAGGTTGATAAAATTTCACATGGAAAAATTTAAGCTACTTAAAATCTGATGGAAATAGTGGATGTTGACTGAAATTGGTTAAATTCTAAGTTAAATTACAGTGCAATTACGAGTAGAGCATGTTCTCTTTCACCAAGTATTCTGGTTGAGAAACACTAAGAATTAGATTGATAGCTTTATGCTTTACTGTTTTACCTTCTGCTCTCAAATTAATGTGTAGTTTATGGTTAATATATTCTGCAGAACAACTACTGTCTGAGTTATTTTAAGTCCCTGGATTGTATGCATATATTTATCTTTAAAAAAAAAAAGAATTAAAAATGCAAGAGGGAATTCCTTGACATTTCTTGATGAGGAGTGAAACCTGATATTAAAGGAGATCAGCCGAGTCTCAAAATGCCATAGATATGTGTAAAACAATCTGATTGTTTGTTTGTTTGATTTCTGTTAGAGACAACAAGAACAAAAGAAACGTGTATTTTGTTAACAAAAGCTTTTCTTTATTCTCCTTTGGCCATACAGTCATTCCCAGCACAGCACCGCAACGCGTCCCCCCACAGTGAGCTTGCAGCGGACCATTTCTGTGGAAGGGTAAGATGATTCTCTGTTGAAGCTGCCCATAGAGCACTCAGATATCACTGTGCCAGACACCGAACACCCCACATACACACAGGACTTCACTGCTCGTATTGCTGCATGCTGCAATGTTTGAGTCAGTGAGATGCAGAAATAAATGCTTTCAAATTAACACTGGTCCTTTTTAGATACTTATATTGAAAAATTTAGCTTTCCTTGAGATATCTGTCAAGAATATCTGTCATATATCTTAATTCCTGTTTCACCTCACTTGATTAGTATTTGCATGTATTAGGTGTAAAATGGTTACCACTAATCATGGGAATTCCCCATGAAGTCTTCCTGTTTTTTCAGTATTTGCATGAATTCATTTTGGAAAAGCAGTATCCTGGGCTAAGGTTGAAGAAATACTGATAGCAAACAGTAATCCCATGCTGGTGTATGTCTGTGTATATTAATATGTTAGTTGTAGAAGCATAGCTCTGTGTACTTATCTGACTCCATTTTAACAGAAATAATTGGGTAAAATATGAATAATTCATAACTACAGTTAATATTTTTGCATATTTATGATATTAGAAAAACTGGTATTTAACACTGAACTATTTAGATTTTGGTTGCTATTACTGGTGTAATTTCCAGAAAATATTACATTTATTTATCTGTTCCCATAGAATTGTGGAACTGTCTGAAGTATTTTGTAGTCAGGGATAACAACTTGTCATGGGCTACTCCTAGATCCTATTTTCAAAGCATTTCTCAATCAAGATAGAAGTGGGAATCCAAAGTTTCCACACAGGAAAGGTATCATCTTGCTTTTTTTGTGTGTGTTACAACCCCACTGTGCTGCAGTGAGAAAAGAAAACAGTAGATAAAGGAAGTGATCCTCTCTCCAATGAAGCCCAAAATGTTTTTGCGACAAGTCTCAATACAAAATATTAAACAACTGAGGAGAAAAAAAAAACTCATAATATATATGTATTTAAAATGTATTATGACTGCTGAATTAATATTCCACTGAAAACAAGACTAATTAATAAAGTTGTTAGAGGAGAGGCCCTTATGGGTTAAAGGCTTTTTTCTGAAAGGCAGTTTTATAAATGAAGTTCTGATCATCCTGACTTCTTGCTCAAAGCAGGGCTAATTTCAAATTTAGATCCAGTTTCTTGAAGCCTTGTGTAATAAAGCTGGGATTGTCACCAAATTCTGTTGGAAGGGACCTCAAGGGTCATGAAACTCCAACCCCCCTGCCACACGCAGGGCCACCAAGCTCCACATTTAATAGTAGACCAGGCTACCCAGGGCCCCATCTGATCTGGCCTTGAACACCTCCAGGGATGGGGCATCCACAGCCTCTCTGGGCAGCTGTTCCAGCACCTCACCACTCTCTCTGTAAAGAATTTCCCCCTCACGTCCAACCTAAATCTTGCCTCCTTCAACTAAAAACCATTTCCCCTTGCCCTGCTGTTGTCTACCCTTCCAAAGAGTTGACTCCCCACCTGTTTGTAAGCTCCCTTTAGGTACTGAAAGGCTGCAATGAGGTCACCTTGCAGCCTTCTTTTCTCCAGGCTGAACAAGCCCAGCTCCCTCAGCCTGTCTTTGTAGGGGAGGTGCTCCAGTCCCCTGATCATCTTTGTGGCCCTCCTCTGGACCCTCTGGGGGCTCCAGCCTTGGACACAGTACTCCAGATGGGGCCTCACAAGAGCAGAGTAGAGGGGGACAGTCACCTCCCTGTCCCTGCTGGCTACCCCCTCTTTTGATGGAGCCCAGGATACCATTTGCCTTCTGAGCCACAAGGGCGCACTGCTGGGTCATGTTAAGTTTTTCATCTAGCAAGATCCCCAGGTCCTTCTCCACAGGGCTGCTCTCAAGGACCGCTCCTCATAGTCTGTATGGATGCCTACAATTCCTCCAGTCCAAGTGCAAAACTCTGCACTTTGCCATGTTGAATCTCATCAGGTTCACCTGGGCCCACCTCTGAATGGCATCCCTTCCTTCCACTGTGTCAACCTCACCGCTCATCTTGGTGTTGTCAGCAAACTTGCTGAGGATTCACTCAATGCCGTCATTGATGTCATTGATAAAGATGTTAAAGAGTACCAGGCCCAAGACAGAGCCCTGGGGGATGCCGCTCGTTACTGGTGTCCACCTGCACACAGAGCCATTGATGACCACCCTCTGTCTGTGGCCTTTCAACCAGTTTCTTATCCATCGAGTGGTCCACCCATCAAATCCAATTTGGAGATAACGATGTGGTGGGGGACCGTGTCAAAGGCCTTGCTCAAGTCCAGGTAAATGACATCAGTCGCCTTTCCCTTGTCCACCAATGCCGTCACTCCATCATAGAAGGCCACCAGATTGGTCAAGCATGACCTTCCCCTGGTGAAGCCGTGCTGGCTGTCTCGGATCACACACTCATTCCTCATGTGATCAAGCATGTCATCCAGGAGGATCTGTTCCATGATCTTCCCAGACACAGAGGCGAGACTCACCAGCCTGTAATTAAAGGTCAGGCTGGATGAGGCTCTGAGAACCTGATTGGTTTTCAGATGTCCAAATTGATTGTAAAAGAGTTGAACTAGATGACCTTTAAGAGTCTCTTCCAATTCAAACAACTCTATGATTCTGTGTATTCACAAGCTCTGGGTAATCCATCTCAGTGCTTAAACATCCTCATATTAGATTTTGTTTTTGTCTTTCACTCTCTAAACATTCCCCTGCCCTTTCCTCAAACCAATTCATGAGGAGATTGATGTTAAGGGAAAAAAAAAAAAAAAAAAAGAAAGAAAAAAAAGAATTGAGTGAATAGAGATTTAAGGAAAGAAATTCTATTATGATGTCTCTGACCTGGTCTACTGGACTCTGTAATAAGGAGGTACCCTGCAGACTTAAATTCCCATTGAAATTTGATAATCAGTTTGTCTGCATGAATTTTTAGATACATTGCAAAATCTGCACTGGCCACACAGACAGCTTGCATCTATTGTGTATGAATCATTAGAGCAGTGGGAATCTGCAAATGATATTACAGGTCTCCTGCTATTCAGGAGGTAGAAGAGTATCTGGCTTGTAATTATTACTAATCAACTGAGGCTGAGTCATATTTCATTTCATGTAGGAAAGTGGGACTGTTAGCCAGTTACACCACTGAGCAAATAGAAGCAATCAGCTCAGCTCTAAATATTTCATTATAATAAAGCTCAATTTAGCCTAATGTTTTTGTGAAGTTCTTACTGCCAAATGTGTTTACAGCTAATTCAATTTGATGTCAAAACAAAGTTATTTTTCTCTTTTAGGAACCCAGCTTCCATCTGTAGAGTCCTGTATTTAGGTGACTTATTATATTGCTTTTGAGTTGCATTTCATAAATGGCTACTTTACCTGCTAGGCATCCCTATCACACACTGAGATTTCAGGCCAGCATGCTAGCTCTGTCTGACCAACTGTGTAGTCACTGCAGTAATACAATTAGTGCATTCTCTGAAGGAGAAATGAAATATTGGAGGGACAAAGAAACGCAGGTGGAATCACATTCAGTGGCATTTATTCCTTTCCACCTTGTTGAATATATGGTAATTGAGCTGGCTAGCACAGATGTTTTAAAACTTCAATAGGTTTTTAATTTAGGTATTGGGTTCCTATCAAAGTAAAAGCATTTTTAAGTCCTGCTTTTGTAGACTTCATGTTTTGCAAAATAATAGATCACAAAGTGAAAAAAAAAGGTCAGGATTTCTTTAAAGCTTAATTTTTCTCTATTTTCAAGCAATATATGTACATGAGGTACATGAGGTCAACAGATCTATGTGTACAAAGGCATGAAATTCACAGCTGTTGGATGTCACTGTCAGTGCAAACTCATTAGTAACTTTCCTAATCTGTGTGGATTACAGACAAGAAGACTCTAATGTTCGGATGTGAAAATATTGTTAATCGGAGAGGTTTTTTAATTATTTCAATGAACAATTTTAACTGTGAATATTCAACTCAGGAAAAATGTTGGATGAAAACTAAAGGCTGTTACCTAGAAATCCTACTGAGCTATCTCGCGAGGCTACATCAGTAGCTTATGAAAACTATTCTTTCTCCAGATGACATTCAGACTAAATTGTATTTTACATGATAACAGTCATCTCTTCTGCTGAGATGCTTAGAAACTGGGATTTCAATTTCTTTCATCGAGAGTGTTTTGAATATTTCATCTATAAATATTAGTATGCAAATAAATAGCATTTGAACGATGACTGAGGATAGGAATTTTTATTCTGAACAGGGCAGATATTACAGGCAGCTTTGTGTTTCAAAAGTATCTCATACAAAGTGATTCTGGATGCTTGCTTCCAATGGACTCCGTATTGATATTTCATGCACGGCTTAGAGGCGTTGCTGGTTTTAGGTATTCTCTTAACCTTTGAATACCTCCTGTCTCCCAGCAGGGTGGAGGGGTTGCCTATCACCATTTCCATCTCACCTAACTTCATTTACAAACTGAAAAGGCGAAGCAGTCATGGTTTATAGTCTTTAAAAGCAGAATGGAAAACAGTCTTTTTAGTTTATGCCTGTGCAGGGGGGAAATGGGTGGAACAGAGATGCAGATTTCCTGATTTATTTTGATTATTAGCACTTTATTATTACCTTCTAGATCAGGGAAGAGAGAGAAATGATCATGTGAAACAAAGTATAAATGAATAAGTGATTTGGAATAGCCATCTTCCTTTCAAAGCTACAGAGCATATTACTTGTCCAACATTGTTGCTCTTGAATTCAGTGTAATTCCTCAAATCTAGGAGACATGCTTCTGTGCCTTTGAGGTAAATGTCATGCATTGGGGTAAAAATATGGACCAGTTTCACTTTTCAAGTAAGAAATTATTCCTTCATGCCAAGTCTGTCTTGCTGGCTGTAAGCATAAAACATTGCCTGGTGCACAGGCTTTAATTTCTCTACTAAGGACAAAATGAAAGACTATTAAAGTCCAGGGGGGTTTCCTACAAAGCAAATAAAATTGCCCATATATAA